AGCAGAGGTAATGTTTGTTGTCCAGTGACCCTCCTTTAGAACTGATAGTAGTTAGGAAAAAGTGGTATATATGCTAAAGACAGGGAGTGGGTGGGTGTGTAGGGAAGGGAAGGTGTGAGCAGATTAGTCAGAGATGGAATCCAGACAGAGGGCAAATGACAAGTAGACAAAATGGGATGGATGATAATATGCCAGGAAGAAAGAAAAGTTGATAATGGGGACTGTAAATAGATGAAAATCGGTTAGCTGCAGTGAAAGCAGCCCATGTCATGACAGGGCCTGGGGTGTGGGTTTGAGTAAAGTAACATTCAAAAAGATATTTAGATTCTGAAATTATTGAACTAGATTTTGAATCCTGAAGGCTGCATCTTCCCCAAGCAGAAAATGAGATGCTGTTCTTCCAGCATGCATTCAGCTTTGCTGGAGCAATTCAGCAGGCTCAAGACAGAAACGGTGGCCAGGGAACACAGTGCTGCATTGAAGTTGCAGGCACCTGGAAGCTCAGGGTCATTTTTGAGGACAGAACACAGTGTTGCACAAAGTGGTCGCCAAATCTGCATTTCATCTTCCCACGAGAGGAGGCCAGATTGTTAGCAGTGAATACAGTTGACTAAAAGAAGTGCAGGTAAATCACTGATTCACCTGGAATGTGTGTCTGAGATCTTGGATAGTGAGGAAAGAGGAAATAAACAAGCAGGTGTTATACCTTCTACAATTGCATGGGGAGGGGGAGGGGGAGGGGGCATGTGTGGTATGTGGTGTGCGGTGGAGAGGTGTTCGGAGTGGACCAGGGTATCCCAAAAGAAATGGTCCCTGTGAAATGCTGACAATGGAGGGGAGGGGAATATTTGTCTGGTGGTGGCATCCCATTGAAGGAGGTGGAAGTGGTGGCTTATGATCTTTTGAATGTAGAGGCTGGTGGGGTGGAAAGTGAGGACCAGGGAACCCTATTGGTGTCATGGGAGGGAACAGAAAGGATGAGTGCAGAAGCTGGGGGAATGGGTTGGAAATTACTAAGACCCCCATCAGCCATAGTAGCAGGGACTCCGTAGTTGAGGAAAAAGGTGAAGATTTCTGAGGCCCTCCTGGGGAGAGTAGCATCATCAGAACAGGTGCAACGGAGACTGAGGGTGTGTAGGAGGAGACTGAATGAAATGGAATCTTTACAAGAAGTAGGGTGTGAGGATGTAAGTTCAAGTAACTGTTGGAATCTGTGGGTGTGTAGTGGATATTGGTGGCCAGCCTATCCCCAGAAATGGAAACCGAGATGTCAAGTAGGGGAAGGGACACCTCAGAGATGGACCAGTGAAGGTGAGAGCAGCATGGAGATTGGAAGAAAAGTTGATAAATTTTTCCAATTCCAAACAAGAGAGGGAAGCAGCACAGTTTGTTATCAATGTGCTGGAGAAAGAGTTGTGGGGAGGGACCCGAGTAGGATTGGAACAAGGAATGTTCCATGTACTCTATAAAGAGACAGGCATAACTGGGGCTGTTGCGAGTACCAATGGCCACACCTTTGATCTGAAGAAAGTGAGAGGAGTTAAAGGAGCAGTTGTTTAAAATGAGTGGTGAAGTGAAATGTGAGTGTCAGTGGTAGTTATCCAGATGGGGACAGGAGTTGCGTCAAGGGCAAAATGGGTGGACCTGTAAAGGTGTGTTTTGCAGGAGAATGCTGGAGGGGGCTGATTGGGGTGTGCCACTTGAAAGATCGATTCCTATCCTGGTAAGGACATTGAATCTCCTGCGGTAAAACATCCACGAGCAACACCACTGCCTGTTCGACGACTTCCTGGCATGAGTGCTTAATTTCAAAGGCAAGCTTCTTCCTCCTGTCCAAGGGGAACAGTATTATGCTACAATCCCTTACAGTTCACAGCTTGATCTCCAGCGATGTTTCAGAGAATCAGAGTGGGGAGCTTTCACTTCTTGAGACTTCATCAGTATACCGATAAATTGTCTCTCAGCTAGCAGTTACAGAATGCGTTCATTGTCACTTGTTGGGGCGGGGGGTCCCCTTTAAATATTGAGTTTTCAGCAGTTGAAATGGATCATGATCATACCCATACATTGATTGTTCAGGAAATTGAGTGCTTATGCTGTGGCTTGGATAAAAAGCCATTGTAAAACTTATTTCATGAGTTGAAGAATGCTGACCTGCCTTGCAGCAAGCAAGCTCAAAAGTGAAAATTCAGCCTGGTGTTTCTGCAATAGTCTTGCTTTTGTAAATGGGTTGGTACACCAGAAATACATGAGTAAATTATGACTGTGAAAAAGCTTGAGCATCAGCATCTGATGAAGTGGTTTCACACCTAAATATTATGCTCATTGAATTGATTGCTGAAATTGCTTGAGTCCAGGCACCTAATAAAATGGAAAAGGAAACTTCACTGAAATAGTTACCAGCTACTTTCTAACCTGGATAAAAATGCTTGCCAAGATAAATCAATTGATTGGCAAAAAGGGCTAAATACGTCTCTTGCAGAAAGGCAGCATAACAAGTTACTAACCGCAGACTGTTGTAATTCAAATATGGTAAAGCTGTTGAAAAAGATATGACGTGATTTGTGTATATGGATTTTATTCCCTTTAACATTTTATGTAATTCTTAACAATTCATTTAATTGAATTTGAGTGTACTCATGGTCTGAAATCCACATCACTAAACTAAGTTTTCAGGCTGAATTTTACCAGAAACTGGCTATGTCAATTTTGACAAGTTTCATGGATCCAAGTACAGATTTTAAAAAAAGGTGGTAAAAGAAGTATGTGACATATTTTCCTTTAATAATTGTGGCCTAAAGCATATGAACAGGAAAGATATAAAAATATAACGGAATTATTTAAAACTCTATAAATAATGAAGAGGACACCTGAGGCTCCAAAGAGATATAAATAAGTCAAATGAGTAGGAAACGAGGTTGCAGTGGAGTATAAGATCATTTACTCAGTCATAATACTTGTATGTGTTGATATTAAGAGGGTGTTCTCATGTAAAGAATGCAGAAAATTATCATGCAGGTACATTAAGTAATTAAGGTGAATAGCATGGTAGCCTTTACTGACGAATCACTTGACATCATACAACATCATTCAACAAGTTGAGAGGTAATAAATGGTTTGGTGACTGTTGGAATGATGATTGTAGAGAAGCGCATAGGTCACCATAAGGTGTCCAACATTAGTGCGTCATACAATATCATGACCATCAGAGACCTGTATGAAGTGGCTCAACAATCCAAATATGAAGCCCTTGAAAATAAGTTTGAAGCTGTATGATGTCACCATACTCCTGCATAGAGGACAGATTTCTCTACAAGCTCAAAACAATGACAAGAATGAGATTCTGGAGTTCCAGACCATTGAGAGGAAGCAAATGCTACTCAGCCAGACCAACCCAAAGCTTGGGCTGCTAATCCTCAACATGCCAAAAGAGCTTTGCAACATGTTGTAGCATGTTAAACCATGGACAGATTAGCAGATCTTAGAGGAGTACAATGTCATATTAACAGAGTTAAAATGTCTTCCTGTAGAACATCTTGAAGTAGGTGAGAGGGTAGGAGCAATTCACTATCTGCTAAGGAAAGTTCCACTTGCCCTCCAGGCCAGCCTGACAAGGTAGAGAGCAGAAAAGAAGGGAGTAATTGAGAAAGTGACAATATACAGAATAGATTAGCAGTACAATAGCAGAAAAAAAATATCTGGAGAGCTAAGAGTATGCGTCCACCTAAAGGATTTCAGTAAAGCTCTGGAAATAACTCATTTCTCTATGCCAACTATCAAAAGAATTTTGCCACAATTTTAAAAGTCAAAAATCTTACTACCCAAGATGCAAAGGATGGTTATTGGCAAGTAAAACTGAACAAGAACAGCCACTTTCAATTACATTCCAGATACCATTTGGGAGATGCAGATAAATACACGTACCATTTGACATTCTCATGGCCCCAGAGGGGAATCAGCACCAACAATGTGAGACAGGTAGTGGTCTTAATGGAGTAGAAACTATAATGGATGATCTGCGAGTTTATTGATGCAGAGATACAATCAAAGAAAGCACTTATGATCAAGATCAAATTATAGTGCGACTGCTAGATGGAGTTTGCCAAATGAACCTGAAGTTGAAGAAGAAAAAAAATTACATTAATGATGCCTGATGTCAAGTGCATAGGCCATGTACTGACAGTAAGGAACCCTAAGAGGTGATAGTTCCGGTGTGATGTGGCAGCCAGCAAATGTAAAAGCAGTCCAATGATTTGTTTGATTTGTCCACTTTTAATAGATTCTTGCCCAAATTGTCTTTGGAAGTGAGAACTATTGTGCTAACTGATGACCATGACATGCAGTTGTATTGGGGCTTGGAGCAAAAAGCAACATTCATTAAAATCAACCAACTAATGGTGCCAATGCCAGTGCTGAAATACTGCAATGTAAATGGTTAAGTCACCCTGCAGTGTGACATCAGTAGACCTGACTTGAAGCAAACCTAGTGCAGCATGGTTGTATTTGCATCTAAAGCTATTTTTTTTTTTTTTTTAAAAAAAGCAGCCATTACATATGTACATTTCCAAATAATAATGCTAACTTCCTTATAACTGCCTTCAATCATGTACCAGAGCAGCCATTTGGAAAGAAAATGACTTATAAATGAATTATACAATTGCTGTTTTCAGTTGAATTTGGGTGGATGTGGAAACAGTAGGTTTAAATCTTTGTTATATTGATTTAGCAATCACTTCCCTTGTAAAGTCCCTTGCTTAGCCCAGAAATCCTTTCACTACTTTCCCACTATTTCCCACAGGAAAAAAATTGTGAAGATACTTTTTTTAAAAAAAAGTCTGGCTCATTGGTTAAAGAACAGCTCTGACACGTTGGAATGGTACTTGTGATAATCTTCAATAACCAGAAATTTTGCAAGCTTACGTACAGTTCACACCCTTTTCTTTGGAGTAGTAAATAAATCAACTGCTTCACTGTTCGTTTGTTTGTTTTTTGATGACTAGGCATGCAGACTTGAACAGTAAACCAACAGGTGGCCTTACATCCCTTTCAGATGTCCCCCTTGTGAATGCAAACTCAGAGTCTCTAGCAGGAGCACTACCTGTAAAAGATGCTGACATAAAAGGTAGGTTGAAATTATTTGGCCTTTAAAATGATGAATTTAAATAATTCAACTCTACTATTCTTGTTAATTGATGAGTGGTTTTGGGATAATTTTGTGTAATAACATTTACTATCCTATTTTGTTAGTCTGGGCTATATTCAGACCCAGGTTGTAGAGATAAAGGTTCTAGTGCATTGCACTGTGCTGTGCAGCTCTTCTGTCCTCTAACACTACGAAAAAAAACTTTTCAGTAAATTTCAAAAGATTGTTCTTTAAATTCATAATCTGTCAAAATGTTGAAAGTTCAGATTTTATTTTCTGATCAGTTATATAAGTTCAACTTTTCTTGACTGTGCCATAAAGGTGATTAAGGGAATGTTATGGGGAAGAGGGAGTTGAACTCTGTGATGGATTTTGATACTAGTTTGGAACCTGTGTTCTGTTTGTTTTGTTTCATTTAAAACTGAAAAGGTTGTTTTTCAGTGGGACAAGAAAACTGCAGATGCTGGAATCCAGGTAGACAAACAGGGGGCTGGAAGAACACAGCAAGGACTGGAGAAGGGTAATACCTGAAACATTGACTGCTCCTTTCCTCCAGATGCTGCCTGGTCAGCTGTGTTCTTCCAGCCTCCTGTTTGTCTACCTGTTTTTCAATGGGGTCTTAATAGGGAATTCCTCCTCATTAACTTGTCATCTGTGTATCTGTTTGATCCATCATTAATCAGGAGACAATTACAAGGCTCATTTCTCTAGGCATTTTCTCATTCTCCCAATATTCTGCCTCCTAATTTTATTTTCCTTAATGCTACAGTTGATGTCTGACTCCTGCGTTCTTCTACCTCTCCTTTCTAATGAGGTTTTCTCATCCCCATTCTGTGTATGTCTCTGTTTCTCTCCTCTAACCTCAAGCACTCAATCTTGTGCATAAAGTCACTCTTCAAATTCATTTGTCCTACTTTCCATGTTCAGTTTTCAGTCACATTGGGAAACTTTTTTTCAAATAATGAAAACAGCATTCTGCCTCATACTGAACCAATGACTAATGGATATTGGTCACTGCAGATTAACTTTAAAATGCTCTTTCTAATTTCTATAGGTGCTGATAGAAATAGTAATTACTGAAATTGCCAGGAGTTAACTTTCCGATGGCTTTGCTGTTTGTTGGCAGTGATAAAACCAAAGTTGAGAATCTTAAAGTAGTGATGAACAAAAGTTTTCATAGGGATTCAGTCAGTAAAAGTAATATGAGCAATCCAAAATGGTTACATGAACAGTCAGTAGAAACAGTATTTTAACACATAACTTATTGCAGAAGTTCTCATTTCAAGTCTCTATCTTAGGAACAGGAGATGAAGAAGAGTATTACGATGATGATTTCATTAGGTAGTGCAAACTTTATCATCCTAACTTAAATGTTTATTTTCATATTCTGGCAATAAGGCACACTTTCTGTTACTGAGTAAATCATTTGGTCAGTAGTCAGAATATTAACTTTTTTCTGAGGATCTGTCTGTTGAAATACTTGAGTACTTAAAAGTTTCTGAAATGCACTAAAGTTTCTATATTAGTCATAGAGATATACAGCATGGAAACAGACCCTTAGGTCCAACTTGTCCATGCCGACCAGATATCCTAGATAAATCTAGTCCCTGGTGAACAAGCAGGTAAGTGGAGCTGAGTCCACAAAGATCAGCTGTGATTTTATTGAATGGCAGAGCAGGCTTGGCAGGCCAGGTGGCTTACTCCTGCTCCTGTTTCTTATGTTCTTATCATATGTTCAGAGAGATGCAAATTGGTTAGAAAACATGTGGAATATTGTGTTCAGGTCTGGCCACAGTATTGATGAAAATGTAAACATTTATAAGCATTCAGAAAAGGGAAGACCTTGTTACAAGCCGGAGTTAACAGCGGTGTGGTGATATTTGTAAGACTTAAACATTCAGTATTAGTTAGCGCCATAATAGTTGTTTTTCTTTTTACTAATTATAAAGGCTGTGTTCCTTTTCCCTTTATTAAGATATACTCTAGATTTTCCTTGTTGTCAGCTATGCACTTTTTTTAATCCATTTCTAATTGCCCTTAAGGTGGTGATGAGCCACTTTCTTGAATTGCTGCAGCCAATGTTACATAGTTATGTCTACAGTTATGTTGGGAAGGGAGTTCTAGGTCTTTGACCAGTGATCATGAAACAGGGGCAGTATAGTTTAAATCCAGGATGGTGATTGCTTAGAGGGGAGTTTAAGGTGGTAGTGTTTCAATTGCATCTGCTACCATTGTCCTAGGTGGTTTTATTCAGTATTCAGCTGAAGTGTACAGTGTAAGAATAATCTGTTTGCACCAAACGTGGGCATTGTATTGTAATGTGAGGCATCAGCAGCAGAGAAAAATAACTAGGAATGTGTAACTCCCTAAATATGTTTCCAATTCATATCTACCGTTGCGTCCCCTGTGAAACCTCTTGACCATTCATCTCTGAAGAAGTCTTTTGACTGTATAACCCTGAAGAAGCCTCTTGTCTTTATTTTTGTCTTTATTCTTTCAAGGGATGTGAATGGCATGGCCAGCGGTGTTGCACATCCCTAATTGCCCTTTAACCTGTTGATTCACCAAACCATTTCAAAGGGCAGTTAAAAGTCTGCCACGTTGCAGGAGTTTGAGTCACATGTAGGCCAGACGAAGAATGATACGTTTTCCTCACAATCATTGGGACAAGTCTTTATATTGTAAATATACTTTAATTCAAATTCCACCCACTGCCATGGTGGCATCTGTACCCATGGCCCCAGAACATTCCTCAGTTTTGAGGAAGGGTCACCAGACCCGAAACGTTAACTCTGATTTTTTTTCTTCACAGATGCAGCCAGACCTGCTGAGCTTTTCCAGCAGCTTTGTTTTTTTCCACCAGAACATTAGCCTGGTACTAATCCAATGACATTGTCACTATGTCTTTGTCTTAGTGGCAGTCAACGTTCAGATAAAACCAAGAGTGAAGTGAGCATTGGTGAAGAAATTGAGGAGGATATTTCTGTGGAGGGGGAAGATCTTTGTACCGATGATAAGGTTTGTAGAACTACTGAGTATAAATAAGAATATTGAAGAACTGGGTGTATCACTGCCTTCTGAAATCTAATAAAATGTGGCTTTTGAGAATAGATTCTTATCAAGGAATAGTGACAGATTAAGTATTAACTGAATATAAATGTTTCATTGCTGTAAGAAGCTAATAGAGTTTAATGCAAACTTTAATGACAATCTATTTTTATTCATTTTAAAATAAGTCTTTTTAAAATTAGTTTAATTTTTTAGATGAAAATAGTTTTTAAACTCAGTTATTCTGTGTGATTTTAAAACAAGTTAATACATTTTGCAATAACTTTGCTGTTTTTTTTGTGAAAGTGTTTTAGTGACTTTTGTTTTATATCTTGTAGCTCGACGATTTGACACTGGACCACACCATTTCTCACTTAAGTGATGTGGCAGATTATATAGAGGAGGTTGCATAGTAGTTTCAGAATGAATAATTAATTTATTGTACAGACAAATGAGTAGTTTTTTTTTTGTCACTTCTGTTGTTCTGAAGCAATGTCGATGGAATTAGGCTGATAGAATCCCTCCGTTAGCAGACAGTTGGTTGAATTTCTTGTATTCAGTTAATCCAAATGAAAACCAAAGACCATGTGTAACACTCAAAAGTGATGCAATCAGAATGGTACTAAGTAGTGCCAGTGCGGGGGGTCTGAAAGTGTCCTCAGACTGTCTTTGAGTATCCATGAAAAGAGGCCTATACTCTTTTAGAAGGGATCAGTGTGGTCCTAAATTGTAATGTGTAAAAATATATTAAGTAAAAATTATTTTTAATGCAGATTTATTTTTTGAGTATTCCATGTGTTTTTATTGCATAACGTCTTATCAAGGCTCTCTAATCCTTTTAGGGCTGCTTGAAAACTTTTAAATGGGTAATTATTTCCCAAAAATGCAACATTAATCAATTACTGGTAATAACATTTAGTGTTAAATTGGTTTGTATTAAATCTGTTTGAATTCTTTTTTGGCATTTGGCTGCCTATTCATTATTATTAATATTTATAATATTCCAAACTCTGGAGCAGCAGCTAATGCTATTCAGTTAACTTTGGAATGAGTTTGTGATGAAGGAAATAAGTATACTTCCTGCTACTTTTGTTACTCTGTGAAGCTGGATTTGTTTGTATGGGCATTGAATAAGACCTTGATGGTTGTATGATCAGCCACTGCTTTTTAGGTTCACAGATGAAGTGCAACCATGTTATTGAAAAATCAGAAAACTGCCGTTTCTCCTAGAAATCTATCCCAGGGTGTTCAGCACCTTTGGAAGAGAGTGGGCAGGATGCAAAATTGCTAAATGCTGATATCATCTGATGTGCACGTCCTTGAGCAAAGCCTGTCGTGGAACTGGGGTTGCTTTTCAACTGCACACTATCTTATTTTTATTGTATTAATTAAAGTATGGAGATTCCTGGAGCTGTTGATTAACATTTGTATTTCATTCAAATAAACTGACAGTCACTGTTCAAAGTGTGTATGCATGTTCTCAAGGCAGTGAGAATTATGTTTGTTCTTTTATTGATATTGATATTCTTTTACTTGCCCCTTTTTTAAAAACCAGTAGTTCTTCTAGATAAAATGGAAAAACTTTAAATTTCACAAAATTACTCATTTGGATTTTTTCTGAATTTTTTGAATACTCCATTTTGCAAATTATTGAAGGCCTCAGCTACACTCAAAAACCTAGGTTTGGCCTCGATATTTTGCCTGTTGCTTGTTAATTAAAAGTGCATCCTGCAATCTGAGCAGAGTGTTAATATGCACAACTTCCCCCAATATATCAATATATTAAAACTAGAAAGCTTCAGTAACAAAATCTTATTTTAATATTTTTCAATCCTATTTAGAAGTTAGAGGATACCTTGTTATCCTGAATGTGATCTGTAATTAATTATCAGAGATAATAGTGTGGAGTTGGAGGAACACAGCAGGCCAGGCAGCATTAGAGGAGCAGGAAAGTTGACATTTTGGGTCGGGACCCTTCTTCAGAAATGGGTCACCATTTCTCACCTATCACCATCCCACCTCCCCTCCCCAGCCCCACTTTTCCTCTCTATTTATTTCCCAGCTCCCTTCCCCCTCCACATTTCTGAAGAAGGGTCCTGACCCAAAACGTCAACTTTCCTGATTCTCTGATGCTGCCTGGCCTGCTGTGTTCCTCCACCTCCACACTGTTATCTCTGGGGACTAAAAGGTCAACTTATGCTGCATGGTCAATATGTCAATACATCTTTAAGACACACATATATCATATACCTTTACTGAATAAGTGTATGACATTATCATTGCATCACAGCATGTGGCCTGAGGGTATAAAGGTCCCAGATGCAATCTTATTGAGGATCACTTGAAGCATGATGCACTCATGGAAGCATATCACTCTTTATTAGCAAATAGTTCAATGTGAACCCACACATCGTTGTGTGGATGTAATACTTGTATATATTAGTGTGCTACATTAAAAGTCTGTTGGATACTACATTATCCACATTTAATTCCTTATTCTGTGAAAGATAACATATACATTACTGCATCAGATAAAGACACGTGGCTGGTGGGTTTTGCCACATCAAACTTGTGAGAATAGGTTGTATTTGCATATTAATTTGCATTTAGAAGATTGAGGGTTGATCTAGTTGTTCCTCTTTTATCAAGCAGTTTTATGCCAACATCTAAGAATTGGGGTTCCAAGACAAACTGGTTGAAGAGAAGGCAAGGTCAAGAACTGTCTTTAAGCTTAGGCTTCTTTAGAACTCTTTATTCCTTATTTATACTAAATACACATGGTAATCAGAGATATACCAGGCTTGAGTTGTGTGGTTACATTAAAATTATTCTGTACATGTGCTTCTCTCTTCACTCTAACTTAACTGTCCACATTGATATTTATGCCCAGTAAGGGGAAACTCCATGACATCGCTAGGGATCACTCTAGGATCTTAAAGCCCTTACGCAATTGTTTCAAATCATAGAAACATTCAATATAGATAAAGAGAAGTTATTTCCTTATAAAAGGAATTCAGAAAGGTGCCACAATATTGAAATTGGAACTGGATCATTCAGCACGTTTTCACCCAAAGATTAATGGAAAGGTAAAATTATCACCCTCAAAAGGTGATCAATAAAGTTTTCAAGACAGAGTTCTACAGATTTTTATTGGGCAAATATATTAATTATGCAATTAGATAGGAGTTGGTGAAGTGGTGCTTTTTCTGGTCAGTTGCAAAAATGCAGACTACAGTGTAATTTCCCACTTAGCATCTCAGTTCCACTTTGAATCATGTGATGAATAGACAGGAGGCCAAGAGGTAAATTAATTCCAGAATGAGAAACCTGCACAGCCTTATCCTGGCAATTTCACCCCCTCAACCCTGATAATGCTCACATTCAACAATGGTCAACCTCTCCCTCATGCCTGACAATGCCCACCATGCCTCAGCTACCTCGTCTGTGCTTCTCCCCATCCCCACACCCACGTCTGGACAATGTCCACACTCTTCCTTAATCTCTGATACTGTTCATCCCTGCCTCTCAGGGTTTGCTGTCCTCCTTCAGCTCACCCTTCACCCACACCTCACCTTAAGCATTAACAGGTTCATCTTCCGCCTGAATCCCCGACAATGGTGACTCCAACAATACTTTACCCAGGAATTCCCAAAAGTGAGTCATACAGCATGGAAACAGACCCTTCAGTCCAACTGGTTCATCCCGACTAGGTTTCCCAAACTAAACAAATCTCCCATTTGCTTGCATTTGACCCATATACCTCTAAACCTTTACTATTCATCTACCTGTCCAAATGTCTTTTAAATGTTGTAACTGTACCTGCATCTACCATTTACTGGCAGTTCATTCCACATATGAACCACTCTTCATGTGAAAAGTTGCCCTTCGGGTCCCTTTTAAATCTTTTTCCTCTCATCTTAAAAATGTGCCCTCTAGTTTTGAACTCCGCTACCCTAGGGATTAGCTTGTCACCTTACGATTTTATAAACCTCTATGAGATCACCCTTCAACCTCCTATTCTCCAGTGAAAAATGTCTCCGCCTATTCTCATAACTCTAAATGGAGTATTTGAATTGTCACAAGGCAGTTGAATATTGTCAAGGGAGGATGAACATTATGGATGGATGAGGTAAGCGTTGGCTGGAGACAGCATAAACATTTCCTGCAATGTTGCTTTGGGCAGGTCAATATTGCTAGGAGTGGTGATTAAATTATTAGGTGGGTGGATAAACATTGTGTGCAGACAGGGTTGAAAATTGTTGAGAAAGTTGAGTATGGTTGGGAGGTTGGTGAATATTCTTGATGTGTTTGAGCATTATTGGGGATTGGATTTTGTTGGGCGGGGTAAATGAATATTATAAGAGGTGTATTGAGCAATATGAGTGTGGGTGAATATTAGAAACATACAAACAAGTAACCAGAGTAGGCCATTCAAACCTGCGAGCATGCTCTGCCATTCAATAAGGTCATAGCTGATCTGATTTTAACCTCACCTCCTCAGTCCTGCATATTCCTGACAATCTTTCATCCCCTTGGTAATCAAGAATATATCTACCTCTCCCTAAAAAATGTTTAAAGATTCGGCATCCACTGCCTGGTAAGAAAGGGAAATCTAAATACTGAAAACCCTCTAGGAGAAAGAAAATATCTCTGTTTTAAATGGGCTCACCCCTAGTTCTAAATTCTCCCACAAGAGGAAACATCCTTTCAATATCCATCTGGTCAAGTCCCCTAATGATCTTGTATGTTTCAGTTGGGTCAACTTTGACTCTTCTAAACTCCAGTGGAGACAGGCCTAGACTGTCTAGTCTTTCCTCATAAGGTATTCTAGGTATCAGTTTAGTTAATGTTCTCTGAACTGTTTCCGATGCATTAACATCCTTCTGTAAGTATGGTGATAAGTACAGTACTCCAAATGAGGTTTTACAGATGCCCTATATAACTGAAGCATAACATCCCTGCTCTTGCATTCAATTCCCTTTACAATAAAACAAACATTCTGGTAGCTTTCTTGATTACTTGCTGTACCTGCATACTAAACTCCTGCAATTCATGCACTAGGATACCCAGATATCTCTGCATCTCAGAGCTCTGCAAACTCTCGCCTTTTGGATGATGTTGTTACTTCTATTCTTTCAGTGAAAATGGACAATTTCACTCTTTCTCACATTATAATCCATTTGCCAGATTTTGGACCACTCACTTAACCTATCTATATCTCTTTTTAGGTTCCTTATGTCCTCTTCACAACTCACTTTCCTAGCTTTGTGACATCGCAAATTTAGCTACCATACCTTCAATCTCTTCATCTAAATGATTTATGTAAATTGCAGCATTGTGGCCCCAGAATTGACCCCTGTGGCACACCACTTCTGACAGCCTGCCAGCCTGAAAAAGATCATCTATTCTTACTCTCTGCTTCCTGTTAGCAAGCTAATCTTCTATCCCTGCCAATGTGTTACCTCCCACACCTTGAGATTTTATTTTCCGTGGTAATCTTCTGGCAGCTAATCAAATGCCTTCCGGAAGTCTAAATACAATAAATCCACGGATTTCCCTCTACCAACAGCACAAGTTACTTCTTCAAAGACTTCCAATAAATTAGGCAAAAATGACCAGAACAATGTTGGCTCTACCTGATTACTTTGAACTTATTCAAGTGTCCTGTTCTAACATTCACTTATAGCTTCAAACGCTTTCCCAACAGAAGATGTTAAGCTAACTGACCTGCAGTTTTCTGCCTCCTTCCTTTTTTGAATAAAGGAATTACATTAGCTATTTTCCATTCTAAAAGAACTTTCCCTGGGTTTTGGAAAATTAAAATTAACACATCAATATTTCACAAGCTAACTTCTTTTAAGATATAGGATGAAATCCATTAGGACCTGGGGACTAGTTAACTTGCAGTTCTAATAATTACTTCCCTGGTAATTATAATTTTCTTGAGTTCTTCCTTCCTTTCAATTCTTAATTTGTTGCTATTCCCAGAATGCTACTTGTATCCTCTCTAGTGAAAACTGATGCAAATTACCTGTTCAATGCATCTACCATTTCTTTGTTCTCCATTACTAAATCCCCAGACTCATTTTCAAAAGGACCAACACTTGCTTTGTTAACTTTTTTTTAATTATTTGAAGAAACTTTTCCTGTTTTAATATTTCTGACTAACTTTGTCTCGTACTCCAGTTTTTTCCCTCGTTAATCTTTCATAATTTTTTTTATATTCTGTCCAATCTCTGACCTGTCAATACCTTTGCAGAATTTTATGTTGTTTCTTTGAATATGATATTATCTTTGATTTTTTAGTTAACAACGGATGGTGGGTCCATCCCTTAGAATTTTTCTTATTTGTTGGAATATATCTATTCTGTGCTTTCTTAAACGTTTGCCACTGCATCTCTAGTGCCTATTCCTTAATCTCAATTGCCAGTCCACTTTCACTAGCTCTGCTTTCATGCTCTCACAATTAGCCTTGGACCC